CATCTGGTGAGATCGACCAACGAACCTCTTCTTCATGCACTTTCATACGAAATGAAGGTCCCTCTAACAAGACCAATGCTAATTTGAAACACCTCTTTGGAAGGCAAGGTTATGTGAAATTCAGCGGATACATCAGCTCTACTCATATGATTGTGAGAAAATTCACCTACCAGTCTTTTGTCACCTTAAACGAAATATAGTGAGCATAACTCAAACAATACTTCTGTACATAGAGACAAAGTTAAAACTTACTAGCCCATATATCGTTGTGGGAAAACTCAATTGTCTGTGGGAAAATTCAACTACCAGTCAGTCATCACCTTAAATGAAATAGGGTGAAGATAACTAATAGATTTGATTTATTGATATACTCGAAAACCTACTCAAAAGGAAATACAAATATAATTAGTAGTTATGTAGAAAAGCTAGGTTTCGAAAAATTCCTTAATACATTGAGTTTGGAGTAACTTTGATGTCGTTTGTAGAGGCGAGTGGAAGGGATTCGTAAGTTGGTTCCACCGGAGGAAGTAGGGGGTTGCCTTGAAGCTGTGGTTGTAGATTTGTGCAAATAGTTCTTCGGCGCACCGGCCTGTGACCCTGTTTTATTGCAGGGGCTCAAAAACCTGTTCGCACAAATCTACAACCACAGCTCCAAGGCAACCCGCCCCCCTCCCAGCCTCTGGTAGAACCAACTTACGAATCCCTCCCACTCGCCTCTTCAAACGAAATGAAAGATACTCCAACGTCATGCTTAGTCGATGTTTGACCTCGGTTTCGCAACTTGGTCATATTTGTAGGAAGATCTAGAGGAATGAACCCTGTCTGGAGTCCATAGTATGCATGATCATTTCCAGAGTCGGATCGTGGACTTGGTACATTCTCAGACGTTTCGCAGGCAACGTAGTCGGCATCGTCAGTGAGTCTTCACAATACTCTTTCCAAAACCCTCCTAATTATTCAAATTTTCTGTCTGCTAAAAAATTATAAACATAACATTCCAGCATGTGGTTCTTTGATGAACAATTTTTTCTTGAGTGCACCATGTGATCGAATAACTTGAACCTTCAGAAATGGTGTTCGTCCCTCCTCAACTTCCAAAGTGAAGTTGTTTTTTTCACTGAGCTGACCTAACGACTATAAATTCCAATACATTTTCCTCATTTATGTAGAAGTTGTTTCACCTCAGTTTCTCAACTTGGTCATATTGGCACCTTGTCCGGAGTCCGTAGTATGCATGATCATTTCCAGAGTCGGACCGTGGACTTGGTACATGTTCAGGCGTTTCGCCGGTATCGTCAGTGACTCTTGCCATCCTCAGCAACCCAAGCTACAACTCGTCAAAGAGGCAAGTGAAGTCAATCCCC